ATACAAACATGTACAAAGTTAGACTCTGATATCAAGAAAATATGACTAAATGCAGTAATTACTTATTTCTCAGATGAAAATCATTGCAAAATTTTTTTACTAAAACAAAATGGCCGCCCTCCAATGAATGCATAGATAGCCAATGTCCAGGCATGTAGACGAACCAAATCAATATCTGGAAGGGAAGCTGGTGGGGGGAGGGGGTAGCAAGACGAGACATGCGCAGTGCTCATCAAAGATGGCTCCGGCCGCGCAGCCTCTGCCACACTAATTTTCTGTTGTATCATTTGTTCTATTTCATTATCAATTTCCTCGTACGTGATATTTTAATATCCGACAAATCTAAAAAAAAATTAAGCAGGGTCTTTGGGCATTCGTTTCATGCTAATACTTGTAATCTTAGGGGTAGTTCGCAAGATGGGGCATGCGTAGTGCTCATCAAAGATGGCTGCGGCCGACCAGCATCTGTCCCGTAGTATCTTAATATCGAGCGAAACGAAAGAAATGTTATATCAGGGACTATGGGTATGCGCTTCATATTAGTACTTTCAAATTTTCGGCAATTAGTTAAATACATCGACTCAAAACACAACAATAATCTACACAAAACACATTGTCATCTGGGCTACAACGGTTTAATTACTTATAAATTCACTGAAATATGGCGTCCATTACTTAATGGAACATCACATTTAAGCAAGCTTTGTTTAACAATTTCCATGAATAAGATATTCGATGTTAAGAGCTTAATATTTTGCACAGTGAAGTATATCTCAAGTAAAATACTAACATAAAAATAATAAATTGCGTACGATATAGTATACGATAAACGTTTTCTACTGAAACAAAATGGCCGCGAGCTAAATCAATAAATCTGGGACGAGCAGAGGCGAGGGGCGGAAGGAAGATTAGCAAGACGGGACATGCGCAGTGCTCATCAAAGATGGCGCCAGCCGCCCAGCCTCTTTCACATATTTTTTTGTGTCATTTGTTCTGTTTTATTACCATTTTCCGTGACGTTAGATTGAGTTCGTGATATTTTAGTATTGGTCAAATTTTAGTAAGGAGCTTTAAGTATTAGTTTCATACAAACACTTGTCATCTTCTCCGTAATCTATTGCGGCGAGACGCGGCGGGTAGAGGGAGAGGGGAGTTAGTACGATGGAGCATGTCCAGTGCTCATCGAAGATGGCTGTTGTCGCCCACCTTCTGTGCCATAGTATTTTTATATCGGTCGAATCGAAAGAGATTTGAGGAGCTTTGAATATTCGCTTCATGTTAATACTTTTCAATTTTTGGGAAATCTGTTGCTATCGCTCATAATTCAACATCCTTTGTACGGTTAAATAAAGTCAAAACACAAAAATTTAAATAATTTACTTAAAACGATTGCTCTTCAAAAAGTTCATAAACTCTAGCAAATACTCTGGCACAGAGGGAGAAAGAATCATCAAAATAGGATACGACTTGAAACGCCAGAGACCCCTCTCTGGGGGGACTGAAAAAAAAGCATCTATGTGAAAATACTCCGTATATTTTCAATCTTTACTGTTATGCAAATTACAATGTATGTACCTATATAGATAATTTTGCTGACAATAATAATAAATGAGTTAACAAAAACATGTTTATCCCAAGATCACCGAATGTGTGCTAGAAGCATTCTAAAGTATTATACATTGAAGAGGAAGAAATTAATAAAATTTTGGAAAATAATTTACTTTTTTTCTTTATACCTTATTTTTTCTCTACTTAAAAAATGTTATACTTTATTTTTCTCAAAAACAGTTCGCAACCCTAATGTAGTCGTCAATGTACAGGTAGGTAGGCAGAATGAATCAATAAAATTGGTAGATGCGTAGAGGATGTGGGGGTATAAGCAAGGTGGGTTATGCGCAGTTCTTTTCAAAGATGGCTCCGGCTGCCTATCTTCTGTCCCGCACGAATTGTTATCCCACCGTGCAGGAAACACGGGCCGTGTTATCCTTTACCGTCATTCGTGGTTTGAAGTAACTTGTAAACAATTAATTAAAATTATAGACGCTTATATACCACGCGAAACATCCTTTTATCAGGTATAAATCTAAATGACATCCTTGACTCCACTTAACATGTTGTTTCTAGTCTAAATTACAACTGGATTCAATATCTCATACAACAACTCCAAAAAGGTATTCTTACAATACATTTAAACAACTTTCGTTAATTTCTATGCATGCGATATGGAGAGCATAATATTTGGCACAGTCAAACATATAATAATAATTATAATAAATATAAACACAACCAGACGATAAAACAAATAGCAGACCGAGTTTGGTACATCATTCGTTAGAAAATATTTGATGATGCCGAATTCTAACGACTTCGCGGTGAGGCTGTTCCCTCATCGGATGAAAATGCAGTAGCTGGGGATGCGACTCCGTCAGTTGCGGATCCCGCAGGGTTACAAGCGGATGCGGAGGCCGCATTTAACCCCCCGGCTCCTGTTGATTTATCCGATGATGGATTAGATCCCCAAGAAATAGAGCAGAGAGAAGCATATCCGAGAAAGCAATTCCTCCCCCGCATACCCCTAAGTAAGCGGAGTCGGCCTGTTGTGAGGTCTATTAACCTATTTGGAAGCTAACCAGAACCTTTGCAAGACGGACTCAATCCTCTTTGGCTCTGCACTGGCAGTATGCCGAATCGTTGATGCCAAACTTCCCAAAACTGGACGTTTTTTTTTTTAATTTTTGTTTATTTATTTGCCATTACACAAGGTACAATTTAAGATGGTACAATTATAATTATTTTTAGTTTCACTTGTACAGCCATTTATAAATAGCATGCAAATATAAATTAGTCAATATTACAAAAAATATATGCCATTAAGTCATTTCATTATAGATTCTAAGTTTAAATTTATATAATAATAATCAAATAATAACAATAATAATCAAATAATAACAATAATTAGACTATACTATAAATTGATATGAAAATAAATTGTGCTTATGTCAAATAATAATTAATTCAATTTTTTATACATTTAGCGTATTCTAGAACTATTATTTTTAAAAATATAAAAATTATTATCGATGAAATGCATTGAATGTTCACTGATCGACTCGAATCCAGATCCCAATTTGACTAATTTATTTATAATTATAACATTCGTGGGGTTTTGTGCGTGCTACTAGACCAGGTAGCATCCCAGCATGGAGAAGAAGAATTGAGGACCGTATCCGAACGGTAAGGGCCATCATCGGCAGGCTGATAAGCTTCAGGTCGGGCAATATTAGGCACAAAATTATGCGCACTGTTAGGATGGCGTTCGATGGGACCAACACCAAATTGTCCCCGCCGGATATTACTTAAAAACTAACGGAACCCATAGATGGCCTGAAGCAAAGGATCGCTGCTTGGGGCAAGCGGATTCGGAGGTATACCGAAAGAACGGCGCGGTTTAGATAGAATCGCCTCCTCTAAGTGACCAAAAGAGACTCTACAAATCGTTGGAGCGACCAATGAGTTGTGGAACGGGCCAAGGACCGGACCAGGGCGACACTGTCACCTTCTGGCGCAGCCTGTCGTCGGAGCCCGTAGACCACAGCAACGGCCTTTGAAGCAAGTCGTGGCAAGCCAATGTGCAGATATTACACCGATGGACCCCGTCGTCATAACACCCGACGACGTATCTGAGGCAGTCCGTAGAGCCCCGAACTGGAAAAGTCCGAGAATCGCCGGGCTGCATCACTACTGGCTGAAGGGGTTCGTGGTGTATCATGCGCGGCGCATGGGGGCGGGGGAGGTTAGCAAGTTGGGGCATGCGCAGTGCTTTCAAAGATGGCTCCCGCACTAAATGCTTTCCACCGTTTTCGAAAATTTTTTGTTTAAGTGTTATTCGTTACTCGTGCATTCATTTTACTTGATGTTGCTCATCTTATAATTATAATTAAATATTTATTTGGAAACAACATAAACATACATTTAAAATAGAACTACGAACTGCTAAATAGAATAACAGCTCCTCATAGTATAGAAATGTCTCGTAGTTATAGTTTAGTTTAGTAATGCAATAAAACAAAAACATATTTTTAAATATCCAGTATCAGTTCCATTCCGGAAATCAAAAGTGAATTTGGTTTTTTAAAAAGAAATCACGCAAATCTTCTAACAAAATTATTCCCATCAATTTATCGTTAGCTAAATTATAAAATACACGATTTTTATGTCACGACCGCGTACCCACGCTAACCAAAGATTATCCATTATTCTTATTTTTTTATATTGCCGTTTCCTTTCCCGGTCTTGAGAAGCTTGGATTCGGTAATAATACATAATACATTGCTATATCGCGCTTGTAGTGGTCAAGACGGTAAATTTTTAAACTTGTTTCATTTGTATCAAATGTAACAAAAGTTAAACCTGCGCATAGTCATGCTGATGAAATTGGAATAAGTACCGATGCATCGGCTTCGAATCTTCAAATTTCCAAAAATCTGAAAGACGACCGAGTTGCGATCCTTTAGTGACTCCTTGTTGAAATATTGTTCTGAACTGCATTATAAGAGAATACGACGATCAGGACAACAGTTTCCTTTTTGAAATTATTTAAGTGTGCGCATATTACTAAGTTTCGTACGTGTATTAGTATAGACTAATACTACTAGTTATATCATATTTTAGGTTAGATAAATATAAATTCGCTGGAATTCCCAAGAAGGGTTGATGTCAGGCTGGCGGCCTGTCATAAAATTAAGCCATAAACTGGAATAACAGCATGTTTCGAAAATAAATAATGGGCATGTTTTGCCGACCCCACTTTGTGGGGGATAAGGGCAGAAGAAAGAAGATGTAATAAAAGTTGTACAATTTAATAGGCATGTTTGTGTAAAGCTATTCAGTATATGTAAACATAAAGTCAAAGTTAAACGTTATCAGTTATGTGCGAGAAGCAACTTCATGGCTTCGATTTCTTCGTGGATGTTTCTCACGTTTTATAATTGTCTTCTAAGGTACTCTTCGGCAACGAACAGGCTACAGTGGTCAATAAAATGGCTGCACCGAACCAACAACATTTGTCATCGAAACCCAAAGCCGCTTCGCGCACCCGGCGTGTCTACAATCCACAAAATAACGCGATTAATTATGTGTGAGTATCGGTTATAACATCATCCAACATTATAAAGTTAATCCGTACATTATAATTATCATTGTAAAGGCTACTTTAATTATGATTATTTTAATTAAATTACTGTTTAGTGACATTTTTAAATAAACTTTATATTACATAACATTTTAGAAGTGTAGGTAACAGTCAAGAATTAAATGTTTGGTTTACTTTACTTAATAAAATAACTATTTGTTGAAATTGAGTACCTCGAGTGTAATAGTACTATACTTTTACTCATAATAGTACTATACTTTTGACTTTCGAGCTGGATACTTGCCTGAGCCGGCACGACTCTCTTTCGATTCCTATTTGTTAACAGTATGCATTAATTTAATTCGAGCTTAACTCGATTGGTGTTTGTATCCTTTCAGTCCTTTGTATAAAAAAAATGTATGCATAAACATGATAAGTAAATTGTAATAATTCTGATGGTTAACACACACACACACATAGGCTCGCGCGCTCGCGATCGCACACACGCACACACACGCACGCACACACACACACACACACACACACACACACACACACACACACACACACACACACACACACACACACACACACACACACACACACACACACACACACACACACACACACACACACACACACACACACACACGCACACGCACACGCACGCACGCACACGCGCACACACACACACACACACACACACACACACACACACACACACACACACACACACACACACACACACACACACACACACACACACACACACACACACACACACACACACACACACACACAGAAATACGGCCGCGCGCGTGCGCGCGCACGCACGCACGCACGCATGCACTACTACGCGCGTCATTATGAGCACACACTTTACTTCTGTACCTTATATGAGTTTCTGTACCTTATATTTCACCAAATTGGGGGAATGGAACTGAGTCTCCTAAACACAGGTCAGGTAATGACCTACGTAGGGGGTCAGAACCTTTCATATCATAGATTTTTTAATTTTCAATATGTCAGTTATTACAAATGTGCTTGTAATTTTTGGAACCTAAAACTTTGTTATTTAAATAAAGATTATTATTATTATTTATCATTATCCTGGTGGTAGCAAAAGTCTCGGTTAACCCAGTTTATGATACTTTATCCTCTGTCTCCAGAATCGATTTGGGTCTAGAATCCGTTTTAGAAGATTGCAACTTGGGTCTTAAGGCCCTGTTCAACAACGACCTGGAAAGTATAATCATTATAATGAAACTGTGGTAAGCAAGATTTGAAAATACTTACATATTTTTATGTACACTTTTAAATGTATAGATGCACTTTATCATGAGCCATTTACCATCAATGAAGCAAGCAACCCCTGATTATAGAAGACTGCAAAGGCACGTGACATAGGACGATTGTTGGCTTCTACCTCTATTCATTACCTTATCATATGCTCCCCTAGTGGTAATCCTACTGCCAGCTACTACGGCTATGGTTCTTAATTACACGAACTAAGCCACCGTTTCTTTGAATACAGTGATCTCTTTATGTGCGCACTAGAATGAAAACAAATATTAGTAGAGACCAAGAAAATTCTCTCCAAATGCGTCAATGATGGATATTAATTTTTACTGTATTTTCGTAATATCGTTACAGTTTCACCGACTTACGTTGTTAAGTTGCCTCCGATCACTGTAACAAGGAGAACTTGTTAGTTGTTCAACAATAACAGACTGATGCAAAAGCTCCTACCGTCGTACGTATAGCAGATCAGTAGACAGTAGTGCTATATCACAGACAACCTTGGTAAAGTAAAAGGTTACATAATCTTAGTTTACGATCAAGCGAATAAATCACTGAAAGTGTTTTTTTTTTTTATGTAGACGGTAATTTTTTTGCTAACATATTAGAAAAGGCTCGTCTAGTGGCCACTCGCAGCGCTGGAAGAGTTAACGTTAGTGGCTAAACTGCAACCATACAGTTGTTGCGGATGTCCACGAGTAATGGTAGCACTCCCTCTCACGCGAAACACTTACTTTCTTGTACGCGTTATACGTTCACAGAATCCATTTCAGGAACCGCACGGCCCTCTATCAGCCGCTAGGCCCACCGCTAAGCAACTATCCACCAGTGATACCGTTATGTCATGAACAAGTTTGTCGTATACTGGCCGTTATGGGCGGCACACAAACTTTGTATCAGAAGAACTGCCGCACCCAAATGATAATAAATCGACAGCTTAAGAAGGTATGTAACGCATAGAAGTTTGTGCCGTATGTAACACTTCGAATGAAAAGACATTGCCTCTTATTTGCCAATTGTCAGGAAATTCCTCTAAAGGATATGAAACTACGTTATACTAAAGGACTCTTCCCTTACAGAACCCGAGGGACTACAACAGGCTTTCTGATGGCGATGCGCTCAGAGAGCTAAAGTCCGCGTAGGGCTACCTACAGCAGGTAATCGGCCGCATGCATCAGTGCAATGAAATTTTCGGTTACCTGCAACTTACCATTGAGTTTAATGATTTCTACCCTACTGTTAAGTAAGTAACATTTATAACTAATTTCTTGTAATCTTGTAATCCAGTTAATATTCTCAGTTAAGCAGTAGTAGTACGGGTAAAAGCCACGGTTGCGATGTATTTTTTACTATTCACATTTTTATCCTGCGTATGACAGACGTTTTCTTACTACACCGATGACCTAAAGGCGGAGGGTCACGCGGGTACAGTGGAGCAATTGCACTGTAATTGTTAATCACTATAGTGATAGTATATATGTAGCGACATATAACAAGACAAAGGCCTACGCCGTCTATCTGTTCGCGATAAACTCAACTACTACTACACCGATTTTCATCATGTTCTCACCAATGCATATAGTGGTTCTCGAGGAAGGTTTTTAGGCTTTAAGTACTAAGCGAAAAGTTAATGATAAATAAGAAAAGATCATGACATTTGTCGGAGGTGTCGGAAAAAATAAACCGTCCGGAAACTTTCAACGACTACGCTGCCTCAACCCTTTGAGGTATAACAAAATGATGTAAAGTGAAATTGTGTATCTTATACAGGTCTACAGAATAGTCCGCTATAGCACATTTTGTCCGACACTAGACTTAATAGGTTTAAGGATATCGTACTATATCCATTTTAATTCTTAAAAAAAATGGGCAATTATAAAGGGGTGATCGGAAAGCTATTTACACAAATACGTTTTTAATTCTTATCATTTTAAATAAGTTAGAGGCTTTAAGTATTTCATGAACATTATTCTACTCTTTTACACTATATAATTTAAACGAATATCTCAAGAGGATTCGCAAAATATTACGGATGCGAGAATAAAATTCAAGCGCCTTGCTTAGCTTGATGCAATCGCCGACCCTCCCCCGTAATGCTTAGCTAATACAAATAAATAGCAAACATATTTTTATTCCACTCAGTTTAAATAATTTGTTTGTTTGTTATTGTGAATCATTACAAACATCAAACATCGTAGGCGCATTTTTGATGCATGTTTGTTTTCTTTAGTTAAATACCTACCCAACCTACCTACTTACTTAGTTTTAGTTCGTTTGTTGTCTTTAGGTATTTCGCATTTTTTTCGTGTTTTAATTTGGTAAAACTGATGGTGCTACATCTCTCGGAGTCACATAGGCTATTTTATATTTTCTGTAAAGAACCCGTGCAAAGCCGGGGCGGGTTGTAACAACATTATGATTAATAATCGTCTTGGTTGAAAATGCATGCCGCAATCTACAGCTAAACATGTTGTAATTCATAATTTCGTAATGTCGACAGCCTACTGAAATTGGTTCATCTTCAAACACACTCACACAAACACAAGCACACACCGCTTCCTATTTTACCATTTAAATATTCATCAACAGCCCGCAAATCAAACTGTAGATCGTAATATTTATCCCCCATAGGACAGGCAAAAGCCTAGTGTGGGGGTCAGTTCATAAGGCATAAATGTAGAAGTTTCTTTTGGAAATAAAGTAATTTGTATTTGTATTTGTATAAATGAGTAAATTCAGTAACAAATATTTTAATGACCGCATCGTCTCTTGCACGTATTCTTTCGTCGTTTTTCGATTTCTTAGCCCATCCTCAGGAGTAAGTAACTCCTAATCCTATCCTTATTCCTACTAATATAATAAATATGAAAGTTTGTGAAGATGTTTGGGTGTTTGAATGTTTGTTCTTCAATCAGGCTCTAAAGGATGAACGGATCTGACTGAAATTTGGTACTGGGTTAGATTATAGCCTGTAATAAGACGTAGGCTACGTTTTTATCCCTGAAATGGATTGAATTCCAGGGAAAGGGATCAAAATTTCAGGATTACTTTTGAAAGATAACCGACATCCACGCGGGCAAAGATACGAGCATCAGCTAGTATACAATAAGTAAATAGTCGTCATCACCAGCCTGAGGCATATCCATGAGGTGATACTGGTGATATCCTATTACAAACCTCTCACTAAAAACGTTTACAGTCAAATCAAAATTTGCATCTTTTTTTTATGCGAAAAGTTGTCAAACGAGCAGACGGTTCACCTGATGTTAAGTGAATACCGCCGCCCATAGACATCTGCGACACCCGAGCGTTCCAGATGCGTTGACAACCTTTTGAAAATTGGGCTCCGGCCACCTCACTCTCCAGACGAAACGCGAAAGTATTTGTCATACTTCCACTTTACGCTGGTCTTCTGTGAGGTCGTGGTACTAACCCGGACGGGCCTGCCCATTCGTGCAACAGCCGAGACCGCTGCGTGGCCCTACCACCGTAAAAGCATGTATATAATCTGAACATTTCTCCACCAGGACATTTTTGGAGGTTTTAATGAGAAAGCGTTGGCATGAGGACAATTATCGATTGATCTTTATTGATGTACTACGAACCATCCTTCAAAATTTTAGCTGCAACATTCACGTGCTGGATACAAAATTATACAGTATTCTCAATTCTATCGTGACCAACGGTGCCTGGGTAAGACAATTTTTTCAAGCTCCGGATTTCCTTCATCCTTGATAAGTTACGATTGTTAACTACATTACTGTAATTACTCCGACTTTGGACCGATTAAAACCAAACAAGTTTAATTTCATTTAATAACCTAAACTTGGTAACCTGAAACGAAATACCAATATAAGGAACGAGGAAAAAGGATAGGAATAAATTTCTTGCTCTGAAATGTATGTTCATCAGGTGCTGTCGTCAAATAGAAAGGTGTTGCTCGACACCGTTCAGGCGGCCCAGGTGAGGCAGAACAGCGCCATCGCTGCTGCCGCCTACCGCCACGCAACAGACATAGGCTTACTTAGGTTGCTACCGGAGCTTTTTCACACCGAAGTCGTGTGGGCTAACGTGTAAGTACTCTTTTACGATGTTCTCTATTACTTTCAACTGGGCTTATTGTAAATCGGGGATAAAATTTGCGCGTAAAATGAAGCATGTTTGGGGTATATAAAATCGGTTTACCTTTAATTTTGATAGGAGATTAAATGACACATAATTATGGTGGCCAGAATTTTTTTAACACGAGGTAACTGGAGTCGACAATCATTAAAATAGTGCAAATAAATAGTAAATAGTTGCGGGTAAAAAGCAAAATAAAAGGAAGTGTTGAATAATTTTCACGTCAACATGAACACTAGGCCAGCCCCGTACTTTCTACCTTTTCCCCGGTTTATCTATTATACCAATCTGAGTCTAACAAGGAGGACAACCAAAGATTTTTGAGACCGCATTTCAGAAATGCCCCAACTTTTGCACGGAGGGTAGCAGGAAGACCCTTGTCGCTGGCTTCATGGGTGAATCAAAATGGCGAATTTTTCGAAATTCTCGGCAGCTGTGTGCTCCTGCCGATCATCGAAATGTTGGGTATTTGGCACATTGTGACGAGCATGTCCCAGGACAATCGACCAATCAGCGTCCTGTTAGAAGTAAGGCATTTTCTACGTTATTATTGGAATTTATTTTCGAATTATTGTATACTTTTGATTATGCCGTTAACCAAACCCGTTTGCCTGTAGCTTCTCCAAATCGTTGAACAAAGCTTCAGCCTTGATAACACAACGTATTCGTATCCCCTGAGTGTAGACGGCAGGGTCGCGATCGCCTACATTATGGGATGCTGTCTCGCCGAGGTCGGCCTACATGAGCTAGCGATTGTGCAGCTGCGCAAAGTTTCGAGGTAAGCTATTGCTTCCAACAGCCACAAGCGGTCACATTTAATATAAGCAACATTGTGGTAACATAAAATTTGTTTTTTAGACTGAGGCACCGCATCGAGATGGACTATTTCTTTGTGCCCTTGGCGATGTTCGAATTGGCTCTGTGTTACGACGCACTCGGCGACCGTCGTGGCGCCCATAATCAACTTATGTTGGCAAGGTCAGTATCTTTTGAAAGCCCGACTCGATTTCCTTCCGATTACTAGTTTCAATTTTCAATCTGTAGGTACCGCTACGTGAACATCATGACAGACTATGAATTTCTATACCACGTGTACGCTGCGGCGGTCAACCTAGTTCAGGCACCGGAGAGAGATCGCCAGGAGTTGGTCCGACAACCCCCGCCCTCGAATCCCCCATCACCGAACAACAGCCGCCCAGGAAGTCCGCAATACCAACTGTTCCCCCAATAAGAGGGGCAGCCTAAATGAAGTGAAAAACGAAACCTTTTTCCAAGTTTTTTCTTGGCAAGCCAGTTACGTGTACTTCGTGTAAGTTCAATCGTGAAGGATCAATATATGTAACTTTATTGTGAAAAGTGCCCCTTTCTCTAAACCTCCAAAGAACTGCTGTTATCTCGATGTGAATGTATAATGTATAATGAATATAATTATATTATAAGCTATGTATTATTAGATCAGCCATATTGTAATTTTACAATATTGATCGCGTTCGACTTTATTAATCTATTACCTAATATATTTCTTATGTCGCAGTCGACTTTTCTACCTTGATCTGTGTTAAGTTTTTGGTTTGGTTAATTTAATTCACTTACTTTTTCGTTTGGAACTAGGACTGCAGAGTTTTTAATTATTTTATTTATCAACTTAAATTTTAACAATACAATAAGGTTTTATTCATAATTTTTATATTTATAAAATACTCAATAACATTTTTCGCATGTATTCTTAACAAACAATATATGTGTCATTATATCTTTGTCTAATAAGAGTATCAATTTGATTATGTGGTGTCGGTTTCTTTATGAAACTACTCTCAATTTAATATAGAATGATTGTGTATTGAGTAGTAATAAGCGGGTTTCCTTATTATGTTTACTCAAAAAAGTCTTTAAAGTCATTTAAATGACGGTACCAGGGTGCACAAAAATAATATCTCAATGAAACACGCGTGCAAAGAATTATTTTGAAAGAAGAAGAAGAAGAAGAAGAATTATTTTAAATTTAGCCTTTAGAGTCATAATATCGATGCGGGATCTTTTGTACTCTTTTAAATACGATTTGCTTGCTACTAATTTTCAAATAACGAGAAATTTCCTATTCATTCGTCCATACTAACCCTAAGTTAACTTTCTTACTTTTATTGAAGCCGTAATTCTTTGCGCACGATTTTTACATGTAGATTTAGGTATAGTAATAAAAAAGGGGTGTGACCCATAACAGGGAACCTTGAATACTATACAATACATAGGTGTAAACGTAATTATACTCCCTAATGTTTATGAAATTTTGATGTGATCTCTAGTTATATATTATTCATGTGATTGCGTTGGTGCATGAACTTAGATAGTCTCCGCAGAGGTCGCATGGGTCCGTGTTCTGTAACTACACGGCTCTGCGGCCGGAGCACTTGTAGGATTAAGATTTACGAACGCGCACGGCGGGAAGTGGCAGCGGCCAAGCGCAGCCCAAATTTTTTCAGCACTCTTTCGGGAACTACCTCGAATATCCCGCCAGCCGCGTTCATACCCCTAAGACTTCGAAATGTCGGCGCTCTTTTTTATTCGACTGTGTTTATTTTTATACTATCAGTCCCCCCTCGAATAAGTTATTGTTTTATGAAAACGAAAAAGTATTCTTATTATTCGTTATATACATTTCTGGACGATTTGCATTCGTCACTAATGATGTAGGAGCATTATGGATAAGAAAAAAAATTTATTCTTTATACAAGGTTATAGTTGGTCTCCCCGAACGTGTAACGCCAGGGGTGGCGCTTTGTACGTTGGCGTGTTTTCTATGCAGACTCTGCGTTTATATTTTTTAAATGTAATCGAGGAAAAAATCCGAATTTAGTGTCTCGAATAGATTTCTTTCGTAACCCCCGACCCCTTACTATTATAAGTCTTCTGTAAACCAATGTATGTATGATACGACGTTTCAACGTCCAGTGGTGTATTGATTTCCGGCTGCGACGGGCGACTAACAGAACATCACGTCAATGCCAACCCGTCCAAGTTTGTTGGGCCCCACCCATTTTAAAAGGCCTCTACGTCGCGAAGGAAAGCCGTATAAATAAGATATCGCTGTAATAACACTTAAATGATAACCCCTCTGCTGTTGCGGCCCTGCGTAGCCGCATTGATAATACTGCGATGCATTATACCTATTCAACTGTTTGTGTGTGTAGAACTGTCTTGATTTACCAATGCATGTACTCATAATTTATAAATAAATACATGTCTGTGAATTCAGTCTTGTTTATTTGGTGCCAACAAACACGCACAAGTCTTTTTATTAAGATTTATGCTTTGATTTGTTTCTTTATCACAAACCTAGGATAATATATACAAACTATTATCCATATACACGGTTAGAAGCGACTGTACCAGAAACTCCTACCCATGACGGCCATTATATAGATGTCGACGTCATTATAAGTGGATTCACTCGGGCATTTTTTGTCGATTTGTTTGTTTGTTATTTTTGCCCTTTTTTTAAAGTTCTTTTTTTGTGAAAAACATTCGTTCAATTTGACGTAAATTCGCAGAGGCTGGCTTCGTCGCTGTCTTGTATGACTTTTACATGCATTAATATGCGCGACATTCGTCGAAGTTTGTACTAACGCACTGCCATGGGACCAGGCCCTTTCTAAGCTTTGCAATGGACTACGGTCCTTTCCCCTACTTCTCGTCCCTCTTCGGGGGGAGCGCGAGTGTTGGTTGTCGCTTACCGCACACAGCGTTGGTATGTTGGTTTCATGTAGCCGTGTGCCTTCCCCAAATTTTTTTATATTTTTTTTTACTGTGGGGGAGCGAATAACTTGTATCGCGTATTAGGTAAATTTGCTATGAGAAGAGGTATTATTTCTAAAGACAAGCGTGAAAGTGAGTATACTATAGACTCTGAGCCTGTCTCAAGCAAGTCGGGATTAGATAAGCCATCTGGCATTATCTTCGGCTTACGCACGTGAATATTTATCCATCCGAGAAAACACCGAGAAGAATTTGGTTATTAAAGAACCACAACATAAACGCGAAACTACCCAATATGACGATTATAATAATATTTCATACGGCTATTCCAAAATATAAATACCAATAAATAACTTTAGAAAGATCCTAAAGAAAGATCATTACTTTTTTTTCAAGGGGGAAATACATATTTTTTACTTCCGGTTTGACTTGCTATGAATTCAAATCGAACTTAATGCAATTAGAACGTGGATCCTACTAGTAGGAAAAGTCTATCTAACCCAGTTCGTGATATATTATTCTCTGTTTCTGGAATCGATTTGGAACTAGAATCCGTTTTGGAAGATGGCAACATGATCGGCTTACGACCGTATTAATTTTATTTCGAACCGGTGGTAACTTTACCACACATTGGCGTCGTCAAGATAAATAAAATAAATTCTGCAAAAGTATAATATGCCTTAGCCATAAGTTCACTTTTAATTTTGCGTTTAAATTGGTTAAGTGGCAGATTTAATATCGACTGTGGGACACCATCGTCGCGCACATAATGAACTAATATAGGCAAGGTCATTATCATTTGAAAGTCAGGCTCGATTTCCATCTGATTACTTGTTTCATAATCATTGTTAAATCTGTAGGTACCGCTACGAGAACATCATGAGAAACTACGAAATTCTATACCACGTGTACGCCGCGGCGGTTGACCTCGTTCAGTTGCCTGAGAGAGATCGCCTGGAGTCGGCCCGACGACCCCCACCCACGGATCCCCCGTTACCGAACAACAGCCGCCCAGGAAGTCCGCAATACCAACTGTTCCCCCAATGAAGAGTCCCTAAATCAAGTGAAATAAAGTTTTCCTTCCAAGTTTTTTCTTGGCTCACAAAGAAACATATCAAGTCTGTTACGTGAATTTCGTGTAATTTTTAACGTGAATTTTAAATGACGGTTTCATGATACGGGAAGAAGAAGGTTCATACGTATAATACATTGCACCCGTGCAACCGGGGAGGGTCGCAACGTTAACAACAGTATGAATAGGCATGTAAGCCTATATAAAATTGCCTAATGACGGTTTCATGATACGGGAAGAAGAAGGTTCATACGTATAATACATTGCACCCGTGCAACCGGGGAGGGTCGCAAGTATACAACATATAGGCGTAAGCCTAATAAAATTGCCTAATATTTATGACATTTTTATGTGGTCTCTAGTTATATATTATTCATGTGATTGGTGCATGAACTTAGATAGTCTCGGCAGCCGCGTGGGTCCGTGTTCTGTACGCACGGCGGGAATGCACCGCCAGAGGCCAGACGCTGACCAACTCTTTTCAGCTCCGTAAAAAAAAAGATGTAAAAGTATTAAAATATAAATTATGACCCCCTTTGCTGCTGCCCTACGTGGCCACATTCATAATACTCAGATGCATTGGAGCTATTGAACTATTTGTGTGTGTAGTACGTAAGTAACTTTCTTGAATTACCAATGTATCCTATGTAACAATACTCATAAATAAATAAATGTGCATTAGTGTGGTTGTTTATTATCACCTCTTGCGGCATAAGCACACGGACACGCACACGTACGCTATTAACATTTTTGCATTGATGATGATTATTCCGACCGATTTCGGCCAAGGCGACCTCTTCAGCTCATAATTGATCGGAGTCCATTATACGGAAGCGATCAAATACGCAGGATATATTAAGGTGCGCAAGCGTTCTCATCTGACCTGCGTATCTACGCAGGATATATTAAGGCGCGCCCACGCAGGATATATTAAGGTGCGCAAGCGTTCTCATCTGACCTGCGTATCTACGCAGGATATATTAAGGCGCGCCCACGCAGGCACACGCACTCGTCCTTACACTCCTAGATCAGATCAGTAGAACGGAAAACCGCTACGACTGAAGGAGGTTGATGATGTGTCTGGCCGACGTTACTATAAACCCTCTAACGTCGCACTTGGCCATGCACCTTGCCTTGCTGATTCGATGAGTCCACCAAACCCAGTGCATATCTGCGGCAGATCGCCCTTCTCATCGAATTTATGCATTGATTTACTATACAAACATATCTAATTTATAAAACAGTTAATAATACAGAATAACTAACTACTTAAAAAGTTTCTGCGTATAACTGATTCATTTAGTCTTTATTGCATTTCTTTAATACGGAACCATAGATGATACACTTATATAGAGTAGGAACACTAGGCGGCCTTAATGCCTTTAGGCATTCTCTGCCATTCAACCTATAGTGTGGTGAGATCTTAGGCAGGGACAATAATAAAACTAACTTAAATTAGAAACTAATCAACCAAAAAGAGTAACAAATACTTTAAATACAGAAAAAATACATATATTTACAAATTAAAATATATAACTATATATACCTACATACATACAAATCATTAAAAGTTAAAGTTATATAATAATCTGATGATAGCAAATATAAAACAAAATGGAAAAAAAATAAACAATATTTTACAAATATTGAAGACTGCACATTTCAAGTCTTCAAGAAATGTTCACGTAGCAGTCTTTTAAAGGAGCATTTGCTGGGCGTCTGTCGTATGTCTTCGGGCAAGGAATTCCAGAGTAGTGTAGCCTTGACTGTATAAGAGTTTCTCAAAATCCCGGTGACATGTGGAGGAATAGTTAACTTGTTCTTAGTAGTTAACCGAAGAGCTTTATTATTAGATAACGAGATACTGAAACTTATCCCTTAAATATGAAGGCGAAGAGAAACCGTTCTAGACAGAAAACAAAAGAAGAAGAATTCCGGAATCGCGCCTCTGTCCGGAAGCTGAGATATAAAATGCGACACATGGTCATACTTACGCAGGCCAAAAATAAAACGGATTCCGTTATTGAGAAGGCGTTCCAGCTTGTTGAGAAGATTGGGATAGATCTGGGTAACACACATCTGCATAATCGATGATTGGAAAAATGAGGGATTGGACTAGCATAAGCTTACTTTGTGAAGGGAGAAAATTCTTTAAACCATTAAGAGTCCGTAGGGTGTCAAATTTGCGGCTAATATTTGAGACTTGATCTCCCTAGTTTAAAGAGTAGTCAATAAGGAGACCAAGATTTTTGACGAATGAACTATACGGTATCTATATATCATTATAAAGGACAGGTGTTAAGCTATAAAAATTAATCTTGGCCTCCTTTATCTTCAGCATCCTTTAGCTTCCTGCTAGCATCGCCTAACATTTAAGAGGATTGACAAGCACTCCATAACGAAATGACCAGTCGTTAATAATTTTTAAATTATGGTTTATTGATTCAATCCCGTTATGGAGGTCATCAATATTAGATTGAACATAAAGCTGCAGGTAGTCGGCATACAGATGATAAGAGCATTTAATTTCGTTTATTTTCAATAATTTAATTTGTAATCTGGTTAATAAAAACTGTGAAAATAATAGGAGAGAGTATTCCGCCTTGCGAAACGCTAGCTTCAAGGTTAGCCTATGATGAGGTATTATTACCTAAGTTGATTGATTGCTGACGTTTGCGAAGATATGAAGCGAACCCTTCCAAAACAGATGGGGTGACATTCAAATAAGCTAGGATGGCAAGAAGGATATCATGGTCGACTGAATTGAAAGCATTTTAAAAGTCAATAAGTACCAACACTTATCTTTTTATTCTCCATACCACTTCTAATATCATCCGTAACTTTAATTAAAGCAGTGGTGGTGCTATAACCAGGACGAAACCCGGGCTGATATGTGCTCAGTAGGTCGTTATTTGCTATAAATAAAGAAAGTTGCTTGTGTACACTTCGTGGTAGGGCCACGCACAGCCTCGGCTGTTGCACGAATGGGCAGGCCCGTTCGGGTAAGTACCACGACCTCACAGAAGATCAGCGTACAGTGGAAGTATGACAAATACTTTCGCGTTTCGTCTGATGAGTGAGGTGGCCGGAGCCCAATTTTCAAAAGGTTGTCAACACATCTGTAACCCTCGAGTGTGACAGATGATCATGTGCATCAGGTTAACCGTTTGACAACTTTTCGCATAAAAAAAACAAGCTTCAAGAATTTTGGATAGGAAAGATAAAACTGATATAGGGCGATAATGATTAAGAATAGAAGGGTTGGGAACTTTAGCTAAGCGACGTACATGTGCCCTTTTCCAGAGGGAAGAGAATTTACCAGAATCCAGGGAAAAATTTATGATATGGGTCAATGCTGGAAGAATATGATCCAATATGGTGACAATCATAAACCTACTGAGCTCATCACAACCCACGGCCTTAGATTTAATAGCTAATACGCACTTCTTTATTTCATCCTGGTTAAGAGGAGAGAATTGGAAAACTGGATATTGAGATTGCGTTGGTGCAATAGAAGCTATAGTTTGATATCGAATTTTAGGGGCATGTCATATGTAAGTTTCAATAAACATAATTCATTTGTCATTTTGCTGACCTTAGTAATTCTTCTGTCTGTTGATAATTCAATTGTAGTAAATATTCATTAATCTTTTATAGGTAAATTAGTCCAAATCGAATATGTCAAATTCGTGTGAAGGTCAGTTGCCAGAAAGGAATAAAAGCGATGACAAAAAAGGCGTTACATTTTCCGTTAGGACGAATATTTCGAGTGTACTATGAATAATTTACGCACTGAGAGTAATTGGCAGTTAAGATACAGTTAAACCGTGGGATACAGAAAAGATTCCTTCATAATTACTTTGACTACAGACCTTTGAGCCCTCTCTTACGGAATTATACCTGTTTTAGTTGCACTACCGAAAGTGGAGATATAATAAGTGATTAACGATTGGCATAAAAAGTGGTAAACTGTCTTGAGGAGGAACTGGTCAGCTATGTCACGCAGTCTTTTAAATACCCATCTTATTTTGCGTACACGACCTGATATTATGTGATATTTGTATTTAACGATTGCCTCCGAAAGACAATGTAAATTATATAGCTAAATTAAACACACGTTTATATACTATTACAAACTAACCGAATTAAAAAAAAGTATCACAACTGGAGATATACACATGGGACACCCTGAAAGTATTGAGAAACTAAAAGACTAACTTATATGAATAAAATAATTTCTAAAATCTTTTCAAACAAACTCTCCACCAGTCTCATGCGTCTCAATAAAAAAAAGTCGCACGGTACCAGATCGATGTACGGGTTACCCAAGACTGAGCGGTGTGGTACGGGGGGAGTTGGTAAAATAGAGCATGCGCAGTTTGCAAAGAAGCCTCCAGCCGCCTAGCCTCTGTCCCGCACTTATTGTTTTCCCACCGTGCCGGAAGCACGCGCCGTGTTATCCTTTACCGTTATTTGTGCGTTGAAGTGACTCGTGAACAATTAATTAAAGTTATAAACGCTTATACCACGCGAAGCATCCTTTTATCAGGTAAATATAAATGACATCCTTTGTCCACGTAACATCTTGTTTCTCATCTAAATTATAACTGGGTTCAATTTCTTTTACAATCACCCTAAAATGCTTCAATACATTTAAACAAGTTTTGTTTGTTAATTTCTGTGCATAAAACATGGAGAAAATAATATTTTGTATAGTATAAGGATATATAAAGTGAAACAAAATAATGCTTCAATAATAATGTTTCAGTTGTAACCGAATACCGTCATAGAAAGTATATAATAAAAATTTCAAACTGAATACAAAATGTCCGCCCATAGATAAGTGTATAGGTAGACAATGTCCAGGCACGTAAGCAAGAAAATCAATAATAATGGGAGAGGCGCAGAGGGGGGCGGGGGAGGTTAGCAAGATGGGGCATGCGCAGTGCTTTCAAAGATGGCTCCCGCACTAATTGTGTTAAGTGTTATTTGGTTCTCGTGCGTTCATGTTACTTATAAACAGTTAAAATCATATCCACTTATATCTCGAGCAGTGTCAAAACAAAAACACACTTTTATATTAAATATATTATATTACATTGCTATAAATCAGTAACAGTGGTCAAATCGAGAAATTTTCAACGTTCTATGTATGCGATATTGAGAGCATAATATTTTGTACAGTCAAACATATATATAGTGAATCACTGATTACAAATAATACTTATTACTCTCAATAATAATGTTTCAGTTGAAAAGAATATGATAAAATTTCAAACTGAATACAAAATGGCCTCCCATAGTAAAGTGTATAGGTAGACAATGTCCAGGCGAGGTTCAGAGGGGGGGAGGGGGTTAGCAAGTTGGGGCATGCGCAGTGCTTTCAAAGATGGCTCCTGCACTAATTCCTTTCCACTGTGTGGGAAGCTTCTTTGTTTAAGTTTTATTCGTTTCTCGTGTGTTCGTGTTACTTATAAACAGTTAAAATCATATCCACTTATATCTCGAGCAGTGTCAAAACAAAAACACACTTTTATATTAAATATATTATATTACATTGCTATAAATCAGTAACAGTGGCCAAATCGAGAAATTTTCAACGTTCTATGTATGCGATATTGAGAGCATAATATTTTGTACAGTGAAACATATATATAGTGAATCACTGATTACAAAAAATACTAATTACTCTCAATAATAATGTTTCAGTTAAAAAGAATATGATAAAATTTCAAACTGAATACAAAATGGCCTCCCATAGATAAGTGTATAGGTAGACAATATCCAGGCGAGGCGCAGAGGGGGGCGGGGGGGTTAGCAAGATGGGACATGCGCAATGCTTTCAAAAATGGCTCCCGCACTAATTCCATTCCGGCGTGTGGGAAGCTTCTTTGTTTAAGTTTTATTCGTTTCTCGTGTGTTCATGTTACTTGTAAACAGTTAAAATCATATTCACTTATATCTCGTGCAGTGTCCGTGAAACAGCTGTGAATCTAAATCACACTGCTTTATCTAAGTATTTAACTCGGTTCTCTTCTTATAAAAATAGTTAAGTATTATTTGGAAACAACATAAACTTACATTTAAAATAGAACAATAACAGCTAGTGTCGCTGTATAGAAATGTAACGTAGCTATATTTATTTAACATACTTGTTTAGTAATGCAATAAAACAAAAACACACTTTTATATTAAATATATTATGTTACATTGCTATAAATCAGTAACAGTGGTCAAATCGAGAAATTTTCAACTTTCTATGTATGCGATATTGAGAGCATAATATTTTGTACAGTCAAACATATATATAGTGAATCACTGATTACAAAAAATACTAATTACTCTCAATAATAATGTTTCAGTTGAAAAGAATATGATAAAATTTCAAACTGAATACAAAATGGCCTCCCATAGTAAAGTGTATAGGTAGACAATGTCCAGGCGAGGCTCAGAGGGGGGGAGGGGGTTAGCAAGTTGGGGCATGCGCAGTGCTTTCAAAGATGGCTCCCGCACTAATTCCTTTCCACTGTGTGGGAAGCTTCTTTGTTTAAGTTTTATTCGTTTCTCATGTCTTCATGTTACTTGTAAACAGTTAAAATCACCCTGCTTTGTCTACTAAGTATTTAACTTGTTTCTTGTCTTATAAAAGTAATTAAGTATTTATTTGGAAACAACATAAACGTACATTTAAAATAGAACATAAGTAGCTGTATAGAAACGTAACGTAGCTATATTTTTTCGATATAGTTGTTTAGTAATGCAATAAAACAAAAACACAAATATATTAAATACTAGCGACCCTCCCCGGCTTCGCACGGGTGCAATGTATTATAAATATGAACCTTCCTCTTGACTCACGCTATCGAGTAAAAAAAACCGCATCAAGATCAGGTGTGTAGTGTTAAAGATCTAAGCATACATAGGGACAGACAGACAGCGGGAGGACTTTGTTTTATACTATGTAGTGAAGACAGCAAAGAGACGTTTACATTTCAAGTGACATTTTACCACAGTCACTCACTTGTTTGTCTTCCCGGAACCCCTCCACTAACACTTAAACTTTATGGTATGGTATTAAAGTTCAAATTGACTTTTAATTATTATTACGAATCTTTTGTATGGGAATATAGAAAAGAGCTGTTTTTAGACTTTTTCAGGCAATTTTTTAAATTTTTTCCTTCATAAGAACCTTCTCCTTATAATAACAAACACAAAAAAAAAAGTTAAATCGATCCAGCCGTTCACGCGTGTTGCGTGACCCAAGGAAATAGGGATTCATTTTTATATTTATAGATATTATTTTAAATTGCTATAAGTCGCTTATAGTAGTCAAGTTGAGAAACTTTCAAACTTTGATTTTGGTTCATTTAAAGTCACATTTAATAAAAGTTAACAATTTAATGGACCTGGTAGTGTAAAGAGCTATTTAGTATAATAAAACATATTCATAAAGTTAAATGTTATCAGTCATGATAATATGACTACTTTACTCAAGATCCGTAGTATTAACTTGATGGTAACGATTTCCTCGTGGATGTTTCTCACGTTTTATATTTATTTACCATGGTACTCTTCAGCAGCTAACGGGTGACACCAATTGATCAAAAAATGGCTAGACCGAACAGATGTGTCTGCAGACGGCAAAAAAACGGCGTTAATCATGTGTGAGTTTTGTTCCACAATCATTATCCAACACTATAAACTTAATCCGTACATTATAATAATCATTATAACGTTTAATTTAATTAAGAGTATTTTAATATCGATTTTATTACTGTTTAGTTACATTTAAAGTCATATTATATAACATTTTAAACTTGTATGTAATTGAAATGTATTATTATTGTTTTTTATTTGTGAAATCGAGTACCTCGAGTGTCTCATACTTTTTGCTTTTCGAGCTGGATAATTGCCTGATCCGGCACGACCCTCTTTCGATTCCTATTTGGTGAAAATAAGCATTAATTTAATACTACCTTAATTTGATTGGTGCTTGGATCCTGCTGGTAGCAAATGTCTTTCTTATTGGCTTCACCGTTGGACACCAAGCCACGCTTACTAAGCCTAAGGGGTGGTTACAAAATTCTAGGTTAATCCAGTTTATGATGTTTTATCTTTGTCTCTAGATCCGATTTGAGACTAGAGGTTCTTTTGGAAGACTGCAACTTGGGTCTAAAGGCCCTGTTTAATACCGACCTGGAAAGCACAATGATAATAACGAAACTCTGGTAAGTAGGATTTGAAAATTTTTACATCTTTTTAAATATAGTTTTGCTAACTTCAATAGTTTAAAATACTTTACCATGAGGCATTTACCATCAATCAAGCAAGCAACCGTTGATTACTACGTGTAGTGCGATTGTTGGCTTCTACCTCTTTATTTTGACTTATCAGTGCTCCTCTGTTGGGAATCCTACCGCCAGCTACTACGATTATGGTTCTAATATCACGATCTAAGCCTCCGCTTCTTTAAACACAGTGATCTCCTTATGTGCGCACTTGAATGTAATCGAATAGAGACCAAGAAAATTCTCTCCAAATGCGTCGATGTTGGATTTAAATTTTACGGTACTTTCGTCACATCCTTACTGTTTCACCGATTTAGGTTGTTAAGTTGCCTCCGATCACTATTGCAAGGAGAACTTGTAAGTTGTTCAAAAGTAACAGAGTGATGCGAAGTCTTCTACCGTCTTAGGTATAGCAGATCAGTAGATAGTAGTGTGATATCACAGAAAACCTTGGTAAAGTAAAAGGTTACACAGTTAACGTTAGTACCACAACTACAACCCTACAGCTGTTGCGGTTGTCCACGAGTGGTGGTTATCACTCCCTATCACGTGAACAACTTACTTTCTTGTACGCGTTATACATTTACAGTATCCATTTCAGGAAACGCACGGCCCTCTATCAGCCGCCAGGTCCACCGCGAAGCAACTATCCCCCGGTGATTCCGATAAACCATGAACAAACTTGCCGTATAATAGAAGTTATTGGCAGAACACAAACGCTGTACCAAAAGAACTACCGCAAGCAAATGCTGATGAAAAGACAGTACAAAAAGGTATGAACGCATAGCAGCTTGTGCGGTATATACCAATTCGAATTAGAAGACATGGTCATTGCTGCGCGATAATTTACAATGAATACTCTAAATAACCGGAAACAAAACCTTTCCGATTTGATATCGGCCGTGACTGCATGATACGTAAAAGGAGTTGTATCCATATGTGAAGACCATATATGGAGGAAACCCTATTCTATAGAGACCTTGAAAGTTTAACCACACACAAACCCGCCTCATTGCTCTTATGTCTCCACTGATAAAACGGAACCTGAATAGTGAGGATTACTTGCCTCGAGGAGCACATGTATATGTGTATACAAACGCATGCTTATTTTCTAGTTTCTAGTCAGAAAATTCCTCCAAAGAGCATGAAACTACACTATACTAAAGTACTCTTCTCTTCCAGAACCCGAAGGAATACAACGGGCTTTCGGATGGCGATGTGCTTAGAGAGCTAAAGTCCGCGTAGGACTACCTACAGCAGGTAATCGGCCGCATGCATCAGTGCAATGAAATTTTCGGTTACCTGCACCTTATTATTGAGTTTAATAATTTCTACTCTACTGTTAAGTAAGTAACATTTATAACTAATTTATTGTAATCCAGTTCATAGTCAAGGCAAATTTTGAATATATAATCCAAAAAATTCTCCACCAGGGAATTTCAAGATGTGTTAATGAAAAAGTGTTGGCATGGGGAAAATTCACGGTTGAGCTACATAGACATTTTACGTACCATCCTTCAGACTTTTAGCTGCAACATTCACGTGTTGGTGACGAAATTATATACTATTCTCAATTCTGTCGTGACCAACGGTGTCACGGTAAGACATTTTTTTTTTTAATTCCAATTTCATTGAGTAACTCATTTTACTTATGCGGTTTTCCTTCATTCTTGACCAGTTACGATTGTGATTTTTCCAGAGATTTAAGATTTAACTCGGACTTTGGAAAAAGTCAACCGTTCAAGTTTAATTTTATTTAATAACCGAAACTCAATAACCTGAAATGAAATAAATTCTAGTTTGATTTTATATTGTATTAAAGTAACAATGTAACAGACGAGAATGAAGGATAGAAATAAACTTCTAAATGCTCTAAAATGTATGTTTATAAGGGGATGCCGTCAAATGCAAGGGTCATGCTCGACATCATTCCGGCAGCCAACCTGAGACAGAACTGCGCCATCGCTGCTGCCGCCTACCGTCACGGAACTGATGAGGACTTGCTTAGGTTGATACCGGAGCTATTCTACACCGAAGTCGTGTGGGCTAACTTGTAAGCACTATTTTACAATGTTCTCTATTAATTTCAGCTTGGCTTATTGTAAATCGGGGATAAAATTGATTAATTTACGCACGACGAGCAGCGTGTTTCGAATATATAAAATTGATTGATTAAATGACACATACGGGGACAAGACAATTTCTTTAACACGAGGTAACTGAAGTCGAGGATCTTTACAATAATGCAAATAAACAGTAAACAGTTGCGGGTAAAAATCAAAATAAAAAGAAGTGTTTAATATTTTTCATCTCAAAATTAAACATTGTGCCCCCGTCCCTTCTCCCTTTTACCCGGTTCATCCATTATACCAATCCGGGTCCAATAAAGAGGACGACCAAAGACCTTTGAGACCGCATTTCAGGTCCGCCCCGGCTTTTGCGCAGAGGGTGGCAGGAAGGCCCGTGTCGCAGGTTTCATGGGTGAATCAAACTGGCGAACTTTTCGAAATTCTCGGCAGCTATGTGCTCCTGCCGATCGTCGAAATGTTGGGTATTTGGCACATTGTGACGAGCATGTCCCCAGACAAGCGACCACTCAGCGCCCTGTTAGCAGTAAGACATTTTCTACGTTGTTGGTGTAATTTATTTTCGACTTATTTTGCTTTTTAGACAAAGGGTTATAGTTGTATCAGATAATATAGGCCAAGTTTTTGGTTCTCTACTTTCAAAACATATAAATAATATATACAATATATTTAAAAGCAGTTTTGAGAATAATGTTAAGTACCTGAAGGACTGGCCTTTGCTCGGTTTGTTTTTTATTTTCTGTAAATCGTATGTTTTGGAAATTACATTTACCGATTACTTACCGACGTAATAATATGAAAATATGAACTGGTGTTTTTCACAAAAGAAAGAACTTTAAAAAGAAAGAGAAAAACTAACAAAATCATCTGGATCAACAAAAATAAAAAATAAAGAAAGCAATGATCTGGAATGAAAAACAAAGTAAAAAGAAAAATAAGTGTGATCGTAACACGAACCACGGCCTTCTGTTTCGGGGCCGCCCGATTACTGACCGAGCTATTATAAAATTTTTTATGGCAAAATTTACAGTCATATTCGAATGATATTTTTCATTACCTGAAAACAGTGATAAAAGGACATTTTCTAAAAATGAAACCTAGCTAGATCGATCTTCGCCCCCGAATCTACGTACATTGTCAAAGACATCCAAATTGTGGAGTTGATACTGTTGATACTCACGTAGGCTAGTATATACCTGTACTATATTGCAAACTAATCTTTTTAATTTCTATGTAAAGTTTTGACGTTTCACATAAACGTCTATGTGAATAAAGATATTTTGAATTTGAATTTGTAAACTTATGTTTTTAAATAAGAGCAACTGTTGAATTTCTAGCCGGTCCCTTCTCAACAGAAACTGTTTTTCAAACCGGCGGTAACTTACGAACTTATGAAAAATTCGACGTTTAATAAGAACGCGCCAGCGTCTATTTGAATAAAGATATTTTGAGTTTGAGTTTGCGTTTGACTTATTGCCGTTAACCAGACCCGTTTGCTTGTAGCTCATCCAGATCGTCAATAAAAAGTTCGAACTTGAGAGACCACCGTATTCGTGTCCCCTGGGTGTAGACAGAAGGGTCGCGGTCGCCTACTTCATGGGATGTTGTCTCGCCGAGATCGGCTTACATCAGCTAGCGATTGTGCAGTTACGCAAAGTTGTCAAGTAAGTTATAGCCTCCGCCAGCCGAATGACCACTTCCTAACCAGTCGTGCCTAACATTACCTTTATGTTTAGAAAGAAACGCCACATCAAGATGGACTATTTCTTCGTGCCCCTGGCGATGTTCGAACTGGCTCTGTGTTACGACGCGCTCGGCGACCGTCGTCGCGCCCATAATCAACTATTGTTGGCGAGGTCAGCATCTTTTGAAAGTCGAACTCGATTTTCTTCTAATTACCAGTTTCATAATTATTGTTCAATCTGTAGGCAACACCACGAGAACGTACTGAGAAACTACGAAATTTTATACCACGTATACGCTGCGGCGGTTGACTTCGTTCAGCCTGAGAGAGATCGCCAGTAGTGGTCCCAACCACCCCCGCCCTCGGATCCCCCGTCACCGAACAACAGCCGCCAAGGAAGTCCGCAATACCAACTGTTCCCCCAATAAGAGTGCCGGCCTAATAAGGTGAAACACAATTTCGTTTCCAAATTTTTTCTTGGCACATACAGAAAGAGAAGAAGTCTGTTACGTGCATTTCGTCGAAGTTCAACCGTGAAGGACCAATATGTAACTGTAATGTAACTTTATTGTGAAGTGTGCCCCTTTCTATATAACCCCCAAGGAACTGCTTTATGTTTAAGTAAATACATACTGTTAATATGTGTTATTAGATCAGTGTCATTGTAATTTTACAATATTTATCGCGTACAACTTAAACTTTTATTAATATACGAGTAATCATATCAAAGTCGACTGCATTTGAATGTATTTCTCATATCGCAGTCGACTTTTCTACCTTGATCTGTGTTAACTTACTGCTTTGGTTAATTTGATTAACTTACTTTTTCGTTTGAACCTAGGACTGTAGAATTTTTAATTATTTTTACTGTTCAACTTAAATTTTAACCATACAATCAGACTTTTCTCATAATTTTATATATATATAATAAACTCAATATCAATATTTTTAGCATGTATTCTTAACAAACGTGTCAATATATGTGTCAATATATCATTGTCTAGTATGAGTAACTACTCTCAATTTAATCTAGAATAATTGTGTATGAAGTAGTAAGAAGCGCGCTTTCTTAATATGTTTACCCAAAATGTCTTGAGTCTCGCTTTGAGTGCCGGTTTCAGGGTGCACAAATATAATTTCTCAATGAAACACGCGTGCAAAGAATTGGGTTAAATTTAGCTACAGTGTCATACTATCAAAGCGGGATTTTTTGTACTCTTTTAAATACGAATTACTTGCTAGTTTTCGGCAAACAAGAAATTTCCTATTCATTCGTCCATACTAACCCTAAGTTAACTTTCTTACTTTTATTGAAGCCGTAATTCTTTGCGCACGATTTTTACATGTAGATTTAGGTATAGTAATAAAAAAGGGGTGTGACCCATAACAGGGAACCTTGAATACTATACAATACATATGTGTAAACGTAATTATACTCCCTAATGTTTATGAAATTTTGATGTGATCTCTAGTTATATATTATTCATGTGATTGCGTTGGTGCATGAACTTAGATAGTCTCCGCAGAGGTCGCATGGGTCCGTGTTCTGTAACTACACGGCTCTGCGGCCGAAGCACTTGTAGGATTAAGATTTGCGAAGACACGGCGGGAAGGCACTGCCAGAGGCCAGACGCAGACCAACTCTTTTAAGCTCCCTTTCGGGAACTTCTTCGAATTTCCCGCCATCCACGCTCAAACCCCTTAGACTTCAAAAGGCCGCGAAATGTCGGCGCTCTATTTTAATCGACTGCGTTTATTTTTATACTATCAGTCCCCCTCGAATAAATTTAGTTGTTTTATGAAAACTAAAAAGTGTTCTTATTATTCTTTATATACATTTTCGGACGATATCGATCCGTCACTCTAATTGTAGGAGCATTATGGATAAGAAAAAAAAAAGTATTCTTTATACAAGGTTGTAGTTGAAGCTCTCCCCGAACGTGTAACGCCAGGGACGGTGCTTTGTGGGTTGGCGCGTTTTCTATGCAAAGTCTGCGTTTATATTTTTTAAATGAAATCGAGGAAAAAATCCGAATTTAGTCTCTTGATTGAATTTCTTTCATAAACCCCCCAATCCCCTCTATTATAAATCTTCTGTAAACCAATGTATGTAAGATAAGACGTTTCAACGTCCAGTGGTGTATTGATTTCCGGCTGCGACGGGCGACTAAGAGAACATCACGTCAATGCCAACCCGTCCAAGTTTGTTGGGCCCCACCCATTTTAAAAGGCCTCTACGTCGCGAAGGAACGCCGTATAAAATAAGATATCGATGTATTAATATATAAATAATAACCCCCTCTGCTACTGCGGCCCTGCGTGGCCGCTTTCATAGTACTCGGATGCATTGGAGCTATTGAACTATTTGTGTGTGTAGAACTGTCTTGATTTACCAATGCATCCTATGCAACACATAACGTATTAATAAATAAATGTGGATTCAGTCTTTTTTATTTGCACCCCTTGCGGCCTATGCACCCAGACACGCACACGTGTCTTATTAAGATTTATGCTTTGACTAATCTTAATAAATTAAAATGTATGTTAGTAAACGCATAACTCAAGAATGCCTGAACCAATTCGGTATTTTTATGTTCCTTAAATTCTACGGAAGGTTTTTACGGATCATTCATAACTAACACGCATACAAGTTAGTGCACAGTAAAATTTAGGTATTTATGAATGACTACCGCACTGTCAACACGTTCCGTTGTTTAGGGAACAGAGTGGCATTTTTTTGGAAACAAATCATTGTTTTTTATTTTAATAAACGATTATACTACCGAGTCTGAACCTCCTGTGTAAAATTGGGCACTTCTCAAAAAATCTCCCTGTATAGGTACTGACAGCTCAGTGAGCCTTGATAGTTTAGTGTACGGGTGGTTAATTTACTCGAGTGACCTGAGTTCGATCCCCGATGCCAGCACCAATGAAATTGACAATTTAAGTGCTGAATTATCACGAGCTCGCCGTTGAAGGAAAACATCGTGAGGAAACGTGAAGAGGCCGCGTGGTGGACCCTGATACCCTATGTACAGAGAAGGCCTTTACCCAGCACTGGGACATGCATAGGCTGATACGTTATTTTACTATATAGGTAGACATATTTGAAAAATTCTTTTTTTATAAATTTTATGGTGCTAGTCTCTACACTTAAGATTAAATATTAAAACTTGTAGAAAAAGTACAAAAAGATTGTCGCGGCTGTGGGAAAATTCTTTTTTGTTCGAAAGGGATATAATTAATTTATGTTCGTTCCTAGTATTATATATATTATCATGTATATTACTAAATCTTGATAATTCGTTCTCATTTTTATAGGCATACGTAACATTTGCAAATATGTACTGAGAGGCGACAGTCACTGCTTTGGGGCCCAGGTTATAAACTGCTCTTTTGCAGGATGAAGATGGTGTTTATGTCGGCCACGTGACCCCAAAGTACAATAGCATAAGACATTATACTATGAAAATAACTAAATTACAATCAAAAGAGCCGTAACGTCTTATTTTCTTAACCGCGAAGACCGCTGAGCTAAGTCTACTCGCCACCATATTAACACGGGGGCCCCATTGCAGTTTAGCGTCTATAGTCTATGGTTATGCCAAAAATATGTTGTGTTCGCGGATAACTTTGTCGTCTATGAACCGATTTCGATGATTCTTTTTTTTTTTTTTTTGTAGAGGAGATATCCCACAGATGGGGAATCCCAGATCTGATGATGGCATCCCAGAGAAATCGAGGGGAGCCTTCGAAAACCGTAGTGGCAACTAGTACCTTTGTTAACTTTTTTCATTAAGAATTTAAAAGCACTACTATTTAATGAAGGTCTGGAGTCGATCTAATGTTGGAGCTGAAAGACAGCCGATGGAACTCCTCAATTACCTGGTGTTTGGACTTAATTCAATGACAACTTTGCACCCATATGGATAATAAGTACCATTACAGGTCTGATGATGGAGACCATAGACAGTTGAGGGGATTGCTCAACGATTTACAGCAGTTACAGTTTTATTAAGCTTAGTCCATACGGTTTAATATGCCAAATTGTTCTGTTCGTACTAATAATACCAAGTTAAGATTGAAGTTATACATAGTAATACCACTACCTACTAAGCATGCTGCTGCGTCAATTTGACACTGAATTTAATTCTCTTCCGTCGTGTGGCCTACTGGATGCATTTTTTTCTTTTCTGTAGTTTTGATTTTATTTTATCTCAGCGTTTCCGTCTAGTATATATCATCATCATCATTTCAGCCTGTTTGAGTCCACTGCTGAACATAGGCCTCCCCCATAGACTGCCACGAAGTACGATCCTGAGCCACCTGCATCCATCGACTTCACCGTTGGGGAAGAAAGGTTCTCGAGTGGCAGCCTCGTACTGGCCATCGCAGTGTGGGACGACCCCCCACTAGATGGAGTGACGACCTGTGCAAATGTGCGGGAAGTCGATGGATGCAGGTGGCTAGTATATATACTTGACATATATTTGTGATATTATGTTAAGTCTGATTGAAGTGACAGTATCCATACATTATTTTTAAACATTGTATATGGAAAATTTCATTAATTCGTTCGGTTTAAGAAACGAGGCACTTAACAAGCACACAAGCGACTAGCGTTAAACTGGTTTGTATGTGAAGTTAAGTTTTATATCAAGGAATCCACTTAACGTAATAAATAGCAAGAAAGAAAGAAATATTTAATCGGCGCATTAAATTAAATGACGTTTTTGTGTGAGTCCATTTTGTAGTCGCTTTATTAGTACCTTTTCATTTGGCCAACTCGTAGTGTACGCCGTCTTTATTGATTTTGAGAATAGCTGTTATCCGAGCGTTGTCAGCGCCATCTATTGAACATTCGATGTTGACTCTGGACGTTCATAAAATATTTGACTTCGTTCGGCATTCTGGCGAGAGATGACACGGTTACCATTTATAATTTATTGTGGTTATCGGTCACTAAATAACATCAAAACATTTGCAAAAAATATTTTAACGATGAAATGATTCTGCTGACAGTTGTTTAAGCATGCGCTCACGAACTTTGCTTTTAAAAGAATAGCGATTATTGGCCATCCTGATTTCGAGAGTTAATGCATTCCACAGAAGAATGGACTGAATAAAGAAAGAAGAATGGAAAAAGTTTGAACGATGAGAAGGACACGATAAAAGAAGGACACGTTTGAACGATGATAAAAATCCATATAAAGTTTTGTCAGAATTAAGTATAGCATTGAACAAATTAAGAGTATGCAAACAAGTATACGTACTAAAAATACAGCATAACCCATTTTTGAACGAAAATGCATTAAATAGTAATATAAAACTACTACTG